CCGGGGCATCCATGTGGAAGTCAGAGACATCTGAGGCTTTGGTGTTGACCTTTCACCCAGTCTGAGAGCAGACCTCTGGGTTGTTTTGCTGCCGAATATGCCAGGCTCTCTAGCCCATTGGCTTCTCCCATCTTCACCTCAAATTTCCCCAGAGAAGCACAGGGAGAACAGATACACATGACTGGATCAAGTTCTATATGGGAACTGGGAGTTTGAACTCAGGTCTTCATACTTCCACAGTGTCATCTTTCCAGACCTGAAAAGACTTTTGTGTGTGTATTATTATTATTATTATTATTATTATTATTATTATTATCAGTTCTTATTTTCATATCACAGTTGTCCAGGCAGCCATATACCTGTCAACACTTTACAAATAGATCCCAGTTTGTGCTGTAGCATGTCCTGAACTAATATAATATATGTATGTGTTTTATAAATGTATATGTATACATATTACACACTATACTTTAAGTCTACATGTTATTCGAGGCTGTCTCATTACTCTTGAATATTGTTTATTTTCTGAACACTATTTAAAAAGACTGATCAAAATTCGAAGCTGACAGCCATTATTCATTTAAAAAAAACATAAATTCAAATGTTTCAATGGTTTAGCAAAACAAGTAACCGACTACTGTGAGTCTTTCCTCCCAAATCATCAGGATGCTTCCCCAGTAACATGCCAGAAAGAGTGACTTCTAGAACATCCAGATTTCCTGCTCTGGTCATTCTTCACGGATTAGGCTCATGTGTCAATGATCTTTTGCAACATGTTGTCTTCCATGTCTTGGAAGGGTATTACTTGGTTCTAGAATAGAATACCAACAAAACAAAAAGGAAAAAATACATTTAAAAATGCCTTATTCTGGTTCAGGAAGATGAAAGTGAAATTGATAAAATATGGTTATGATTACACTTTGTAAAATTAAAAAAAAAGCAAAAAGGAAGTCCACAGTGTCAAGAGGTGGGTGGTGCTCTGGACTCAGCCTAGTCCTCAACCCCTCAATTCTAAGCATTAGGATGCAGAGAACCAACTATCGGGGGTATCTCTGCTTGCAACGTGTACTGAACATGGTCAAACTGAGTGTATCATAACCAGTATTTCTTGCCTGTCACTACTACCGAGTAGCTCAAACTGGGCATGTAGGAGTCACCCCAAAATCTTTCTCAACCCCCCATTCTCCAGATCCCAGCTGTCAGTTTGCCTCCAGGATGGTAGTGACATCTATTTGTTTTTATCACCACTATTGTAATTCAGAGCAACATCATCTCTCATCTGCGTTCTCCCCTAGCTTTGGACATCCCTTACAACCATACCTGTCATTCTCCGGTGTGATTAAGATTCATCAGCCACACTTCTGCTTCCAAATATCCCCATTGTCCCTTCAGTGGCTACTCTCGCTCTCATCCTCTAGTCCTACTGTTCTTTCTTCAACTCTGTATCAGAATAACTCATCTTTCTTATTATTAATTAAATTTGCTCTTCAGTTATTTCATTCCTATATACTACACTCTATTTACTCCCACTCCCCCTTCTTAACTTTCTTCCACTTCTATCATTGTCCTCTTTAAAGGTCCCCTCCCCTTATTCATACCATATGTCTTTCTGTTTCATTTTGTGACCCACTGATTTTTAACTAGGATCATCTATGTGGCTACGGGTTTGGTCTTATCCACTGAACCTGGTAGGTTCACTGTTCAGTACACACTGAAGGTGATGACTTTACCTGCTCCAGAATCTCTCAGTTGTCAATAGTTCAGCAGAGTAGGGTAGAATCCCATAAGCCCCTACTAGGTTCAGGATTATCTAATGACATGTCCAGTCTTGTTCCAGCTCAGTGCAGCTGAGGCTGCTGTGAGAGCATGATTACAATGGCTGTGTCACAATCTGAAGATAGCATTTTGCTAGCTCCCTATCCTCTGGCTTTTACATCGCTTTAGTTACTTCTTTACACGTTAAAAGTTGCAGTATAAACTGGGCGGTAGTGGTGCACGCCTTTAATCCCAGCACTCGGGAGGCAGAGGCAGGCGGCAGATCTCTGTGAGTTCAGGCCAGCCTGGTCTCCAAAGTGAGTTCCAGGAAAGGCAGAAAGCTACACAGAGAAACCCTGTCTCGAAAAAACAAAACAAAAGGTGTAGTATAAATGTCCTGTTAAGAGCTGAGCACTCCTCCTTGGTTTAGTCTAACAATCTTGAGCAGCCCTGACTCTCTGAATTCGTTGTCATTCATTGCAAAGAGAAGCTTCTTTAATTTAGGACAAGAGTGGTGCATTTGTCTATGGATCTAGACACAAACATTTAAATTGCTTTATCAATATAGGTTAACAATGGTGGTGAGGACCCCCAAGGTCAATTATACCCCCAAGAAATAGGGTTTTAACCAAGTTTAGGGTACCAGGCAATCATTCCCTCCTGTGGAGTGGGCCTCAAATCCAATTTAAAGGCTTTTGGTTACTCTGTAACAATTGTGCAGCCATTGTGCCGGTGAGCACCTCTTGCCTGATAAGTCAGCACTATAGTGCACAGGATTCACAGCTGGGTAATACTACCATTGCCTTATCCCCCATAGCATACATAGACTGCATAGAACTTTCAGGTGCTATGGAAATTAACCAGCATTTTCAGTTTCATTTCAGCCCAAGGTTAGCTTACCTTTCAAATTTCATGCAATGAATCACTGACTCAGTTACAAGCTTTACCTACACCCTCAGACTGAGTAATCTCCCCAAATAATGTAGACTATTTCCCTTGTCACATACTCAATCTGCCGTTAACTCTATGATAGCCATTTGCCCTACTAGAATATAAACTCCAAGAGGGTGAGAACCATATCTGTTTTCAAAACCTCATTGTCAATGCTTGTCAAATAACATTTGTCTATGATAGTGAATGAATACTATGCAAAAGAATAGTGATAGGAAGTTGATGCTTGTTGTCACTTCCTGTTTATAAGGCAGATACTCAAAGATGACTATGAAACCATGCTCTCTTATGAGTGCTGACATTTTGCCCAGTGATTTTACATTTTGGATGCTGGATCACACTATCCATGACTCAATCAACCTTCAGATTACATGTGATTTTCTTTTCCTGTTTCATATTTTCCTAAGTAGGTATACCAGCAAATCTTCCAGAGTCTTGGGACTACAGTAAGATCTGTTCTAGGTATGCCCATCTTATACCTTATAACAATAAATGTATTATTATTATTATTCCCTGTAGTTATCGATAAGAGATATAAATGACAGCTACCACGTAGAGGATAAAAAAGATTCCTTTCATCTTTCCACATTTTATTTTCTCATCTTTTATAATACTCTTTTGATTTTCTTCAAATGGCTGCTCCTTTATTCTCTTCAGGCAAATTGATAATAATTGCATCCAATTTCTGTTCTTTCCATCTTTAAAGATGAATGCCACTCAACATTGTTTGCTTTCTTGTCATTCATTAAAGTTTGCTAATATGTGTTAATCACATGACAAATGCTACTCAAACAATTGCATCATTCAACAGTAATCCAGTGGAGAAACCAGTGTTAATATTTACTTAGATTAGATTAATGAAGGAGACCACAGTTTAGAGACGTTAATGTCTTGCAAAGTTGTTTCTGTTTGGGAAGATCTATCCATAACAGATCTTCAATATATGCTTGTCTAGTCACTCACTGGGTCACTGCTATTATTTTGGGTGGATGTGAGGGTAGCTTGGGATTTATTTTGTTTCTTGAACTTCTTTCTTTCAACTCAAACCAAAGAGAACCTTCCTGAAGGTGATTGACGAACAAAAGGGGTAACTAGTAGAAGGAAGGCTGGGTTTTGAGATTTGTTTTTAAGAAAGAAGGAAGCTTTCTAGGACTTCGTCATTAGGTTACATTGCCTGATAACTACTTTGGGAATCTTTTGGTTACTGAAACATATTTCTCTATCTTCATTAAATTTAGCTTGAATAATAGTTTTCCTGTAAGAGCAAAGATAAGGAAGAGAAATCAGCAATCCTTCTCTGGCTCCAACCCGTGTGTGTGTGTGTGTGTGTGTGTGTGTGTGTGTGTGTGTGTGTGTGTGTGTGTGTGTGTTTTCTTTGTATGGGCTCCTGTATGTCTCCCAGCCTAGCAGTTCGCCATGCAGTACATCTGTACTGTGTTTATGGCGCTCTTCCTTACCTGTCTGTAACCTAGAAACTTCCTCGGACTATGAAAGCAAACAGCTCTTTCCCTCTGGTTTTGTCCTCCATCCTAGGGAAGCTATCAGATTCCTGCTGACAACCATCCCTCCTCCAGGGTTCCCTTGGAGTCACCTCTCTGAACTGCACCAGGATGACTCTCATTGTCCCGGGGCGGTGGGGTGGGGGAGGCATGTAGTATGTGGGTCAGGAGGGGGGCTGGATCTGGCCACAGTAGGGCTTCAGCTGGGAATCTGCAATGCTACACCAGCTGTGGAGCCTATGGGACGCGGGTTCCTGCTCTCAGCAGAGACCTGCTGGACCACCAGCTGGGTGTGATCTGTGAGCTTTCTATCAGACGGGCGCCGCGGGCGCTTGGAGGTCCCCCGCGTGGCAGCAAGGAGCTAACGGAGCGTGAGGTCCTGGATTTAAGAGTTGAGGCTGTCTAGTCTAAGGGTTAGAAACACTGCGATAAAAGCGCAATTTGCTTTCACCCTTCACCTGAATGACCTTGGACATGTTCCTCAGATTCTATGTGCCAATTTCTAAACCCGTAAAATGGGGACATTAAGGTGTCAACTTCGAGCTAATATTGTAGTAAGCATGGCTTTCTGTGCATAGTAGGCGCTCTCGGTAAATGATAACAAAGCTCAGTAATAGATACAGGTTGAGTACTGGGGTCCAGGACCCAGGGTTGAGCTCTGCCTTTCCACCTATTCAATACCAAGGAATATTTCGGGTAGTTGGAGTACCTGCCCTGTTCCCTCCCCCTATCCAAGATAAGCCAGGGAACACGATTCCGGGGCACCCCAGTCTCGATGTTCTCTGCAACCTCTTCCACCACCCTACCCCCCACTCCCCGCTCCCGCGCCCTGAGCAGAGGAAATGATTTTTTCCGTGAACTGAGTCTCAGTCTGGTGTCGGTGGTGATGTGCCTGGGGCAGTAGGAAAGGGGGCTAAGAAAGGGAAGAAGGGAAGTGGTGGCGTGAGGAGAGGTGACTTGGTGGCTCAGGCGGTATCGTGCCTGCTTTCTGTGAAGCACCAGGCTTGGACGCAGAGGTGCAGTTTCAGCTGGCCAGAACGGAACGGCAGGGGTGCAGCTCTGTTGGGCCACAGTAGTGGGCGGCGAGCTCGGGCGGGTGAGGTAAGGAGTGGCGGGTGGCTGGGACCACGATCGTGTGTGTGTGTGTGTGTGTGTGTGTGTCTGCCTTGCGTGTGCGTCCGCGAGGCGTGGGGGACTGGAGGAGCGCATCCCACCCCTCCACCCGCCCTCGCGCTTGGTGCCTCTTGGCCCCGCACCTGCGCTGGAGCGCCAGTCACCCTCTGTCCCTCACACCCCCACCTCCCTTGCCCCTCAGTCAAACCTCACCCTGCCCACTCAGAGTGCAGAGTCAGACCCAAAGCCAGAGAAGCCTCTGCCTGACTGCTCCCCTCGCCCCCTCCCCCCTCCTGCTATAAATAGCCAGGCTAGCGGGTCAGGAACATCACAACGTCAGAAACCAGGACCCCGAGGTTTTCTTCTTAGGGAACAGGGGGCAAAGGGTGAGCGGGAGGAGAGAAAGAAATCGCTCGTGAGTAGTGAAGAGAAAGCTTGTCCCTTGACTCCCAGGAAAGACTAGCGTCTTTGAATTCCTGTATCCTTCCTCTTGCTTCTCACCCTCTTTCTGATTCTTTCATTTTCTCAATCCACTCCCCACCCCACCCCCCGCTCAAAATCCAACATTTGCTCAGCACTCCTCCGATTGGTTTCTCTTCTCCTCCTCGGACTCTGGTTCCCGCTGCTCCCCTCCCCACTCTTAGTGCTCCCACCCCACCCCCACCACCTCCACTTGTCCCAGGCAGGGGACTGGTATTAAGGAAATAAAGTTCAACTCCTCGTCCCTTTCTACCTGCTCAGACTAGGAGTGGGACTTCAGGCACCCATCTCCCCGGCTCCTTACACCCCATACCTCCAAATCTTTGTTTTTCGTATTTAAGGACACACACACACACACACACACACACACACACACACACACACACATACACACATGCAAATACGCATCTCCAAACCCCACCACCCGTAAGGTGCAAAACTACCTTCTGCAACAAAAGAAACTTACCAGACGCTCTGGTTGCTTTTGTCTTAAAGAAAAAAAAAAAAAAAACAACAACAAAGATTCTACTTTGGATGCACTTCTGGGGTGACAGTTTAATATTATTCAAACATGTACATATTACATACATATATGCTTTTCTTCCCTTTCCTCCTTTAATTTTTTTTTTTTTAAACAAGGAAATATCGGTCCCCGGCAGCCGCCGCTGCCCCTTTGATGTTTTGGTACGCCGTGCGCATGCGCTCCACATTAGAATTACTGCACTGGGCAGACTAAGTTGGATCTCCTCTCTTCAGTGAATCCCTCAATCCCATCAAAAACTAAAGGGATGTGCAGAGTCCGGAAAAGGGGCTACTTTGGGATTTGGTCGTTTCCCTTAATCATCGCCGCTGTCTGTGCTCAGAGGTAAGTGTCTTTTTCCTTTCTCACTTGTCAGGGCTCTGTCTGCATACCTCTCTGTGAGCACGGCTGTTGAAGATGCCGTGTGTGCTGGCTTCTTTATTTATTCCTGTTTATTGTCATTTTTTTTCTTTAGTGTCAATGACCCTAGTAATATGTCGCTGGTTAAAGAGACGGTGGACAGACTGTTGAAAGGCTATGACATTCGTCTGAGACCAGATTTTGGAGGTAATGGGATTGCCTTGCAAATAAGAAACAGCCCAGCTCCAGCCGAAGCTGTCTTTTGGGCTTTGTGTGCGCTCTCTTCCCTCTCCTTAGTTGTGGGTGCATGTGGTGTATGGAATGGTTCCCTATTTTACCATGCTGAGAAACGATCTAAACTTCAGTCAGTTTGTTACTGTCCAGCACTTGAGAGGTCTTTCAAAAATGACCCCCTTAGCGTGTAATCAGACTTGGTAACTGCTTTCCACCTCCTTCACCGTGATAAATCTTTGTTACCAGTCTGAGCTTTCCTGACATACAAGCCTTTTAAGTTTACTTAACGGTGTGCCCAGGGCTGTCTTGTAATATGAGTATTTTTGAGGACAGGATGTGCAGGTAGTTGGCGGAGAGATGGCCTGAACTCCCTGTGCCCACCTACTTTGGAAGAGTTCTGGCCATGGTTTAAAGTGGCTCATGTCTGGGTACTCTCCAGTCCTCTAATGGCATAGGAAAGAATGGGGTCTGGGGGATGGAGACTAGAGATAGCAGAGGGAGAAGGACATCTCTCTCTGCAGCCCCAGATAAGCTAGTGTGAAAATTTAATTTTGCTTCAGACTCTTAATGGGACTCAAAGAGTTAAAACCTACACACAGAAGTGTGTGTGTAAAAATGAGAAGGAGGGGGTTTTCAATGCACACATTCCTAGGGTTATAACATTCTTCTGCTGCTGTGAGTTGTATGAATTCCCATGCTGAGGCATCGACATATGTAGACACAGCTGGAATGACGGTCCCATCAACACATGTGTACATATTCCTAGAAGAGTGTCCCCTCACTCTTTGTGCCAAGGAGTAGGAAAGTGACGAACATGAGGATTAACTTTAGAGAGGGGGTTTCGGTAGGGTTCCTAGTGACAACTCTTGTTATGAATGACTAAGTTCTGAGAAGTCACATGGCTGTCCATCTTGGTTTGCAGGTCCCCCTGTGGCTGTAGGAATGAACATTGATATTGCCAGCATTGATATGGTCTCTGAAGTCAATATGGTGAGTATTAATGCTCATAGCTATGCCTCTGCAATGCTTCATTTGGGGATGGGACAGTGTAGTCATTGGGGGTGTGGTATGCTTGAATATATGTATAGTATGGGGACAAGAGCATGGTATTATTTTGCCCCAGAACTCATGGTACATGTGCTTATAGAACAACTCATTCTGGTTCTTGGCACTTTTTTCCAATTTGGATCCAACACTGTGTCTCTCAATGCAGAGTGAATACAATACATCACACATTCACTTGTAAAAGGCAGCAGTATGCTGGAGGCCCCCTGCAGACTCTATGGTTCTGACAGCTTATTGGAAGCCTTAGTTTGTAAAGGGACAATTCTGGGTTTGGAGATAAGTCATGGGAAAAGGAGGATTTGAATGTGACAGAAAATGTATCAGGAACTCTGTCTTATAAACTAAACTGTAACAAAGAGACTAAGTCATTGATCTTGGGACATTGATGCCCACTTGTTGCTTTGGGAGAAAGCCTCTTTATAGTTGATGATATTCAGCATCCCCACCCCCCACTGCTCTCCATCTCCTTTAACCCCTTCTTGCTATCCCAATGATATAAAATAAAAGCTGGCCACTCTGTTTCCAAAAGGTAAACTTAATAGCAAGTGCACTCTCTTATTGAATCAGCAATGTTATTCATCATGTGTACCATGCTCCTACAATTTACTGAGAGCCATACTCAGTACTTCTTTGGATAAAGAACAAGCACTAAGAAGTGCTAAGAGTGTGGGAAGAACCTGTGTTCTCCAACAGGGAAGCACTTTTGGGGGGGTTTGCTTCATGCAGGAGCGCCCCCTGCTGCCTATGTTGGAGCACTACGGACATGCATGACAAGGACAAGTGTCCCAGATTCCCCCACTTAACTCAGGGGCATTTCTCCAGTGAATTTCTCTCTCTCTCTCTCTCTCTCTCTCTCTCTCTCTCTCTCTCTCTCTCTCTCTCTCTCTCTCTCTCTCTCTCTCACTCTCTCTCTCTCTCTCACTCTCGCTCTCTCGCTCTCTCTCTCCCTTTTAGAAAGTCTGTCTAGATAGGCTGAACCTCAATGTAATATTCCAGTACTCCTTTCTGATCTGATAGCACACAGCACATTTCAGATTGTTCTATGACACCCTCCTGTCCTCCTGTCTGCAAAGTGGACGAATAATTAAAGAAGGAGATGAAGTGTGTAATCTTTTATACAAACACTTCTATGCCAGCCATTGGGACATGAAATTTAGGACATACTAATTAACTCAAGAAATTTGAAGTATTAGAATTTAACCTAGGTCTCATCTCAACTTGACAGAAGTTCCTACACTCCCAGAATTCAAAGAGGCAACTCATACAGCAATCACAAATGCTGGGCAGAAATGATCTAAAGGTGTCATAAGATTCTGACCATTTTGCAGAAACTCAAGGAGGTTAATTAATTAATCAATTAATTCAGCAGTGGTTTAATAAGAAGAATCACATTGTACACATTGAAATAGTTGTTTTATTGTATGGTACATGAACACAGAAGAAATACAATATTGGATAACTAGGAAACACACAGGTGATTTCCTCTGAGTGGATAGAGAATGTCTTTCTTAAGAAACGTATTTCTCAGATATGCAAATATTGACTTTTGTGAGATTTGAGAAGTATATCAAAATAAAAATAGAAAATGTCCTAATCTGGGTACCTCCATGATCCTAGGTACTTGACTCTAGATTGAATTGCTAAATGCTAACTTGAAAGTTATGTAGAAATCAAGTAAGGTTTTGTATTTTCTAAGTGTGATTGTGTCAGGCTAATATATCATCTATTTTCTTTTTGATTTATGCCTCTCTTCTCTAATAAAATACTATTTTACCAGCTCCTTTAAAACATCACAAAATGATATTTTATAGAAGTATAAGAAAAGGCATCTATGAGATGAAGCAATGCTCACTAAATGACTCCAGGTTATGACAATAGGTTAGGTAAGGACTTAGGTGCACTATGACCTTACATGGGGTATAATGGTAAACTTTTTTTTTTTCTTCATGAATTTCATTGACATTTTTCCCCTGCATGCACCATTTTGGAGAGGTATCAGAAGTGGACACAATGCCAAGACCTGCTAGTCAAAATATAGATCCAGCTGAGGCAGGGTGTCATCACTTTGAGCTATTTACTGTTGCAGAGAAGTCATGGGATGTCGAAAGTGCAAAAATAAATGTCAGCTTGTAAATGGGACAACATTGTAGCATTAATGATTTGAAGCAAGTGTGAAAAATTCCAAGCCAGATTCCTTTCTTAGCTTAATGCTGACACTCATGGATTTGTCCAGCCACACTTTGAGCTGTTGAAAAACTTATATTTACTTCAGCTATCAGTCTTGTTGACCTAAAACTAAGAATATTTTTGTAACATATGTTGCTATTATCTTGTTTCTAAATATGGTTATTCTCTTGGAAGCAACAGATGAGTTAGACCCCCATTGGTAGCTCAATATAAGATGTTAATGTATATTGTATAAAGGCCTATAAGGGTTAGGATGTTTTAGTTATATTTAGTATCTAAAGAATGGTTGATTATTTGTTTAAGTGCAATCTCAACGTTGATTAACACACACATTTCTTCATCAACATGGCTTGTGAACTAGTACCTAGTAGCTGTAACTTTCAGTATGGTGCATCTGCCTTTGAAGAATGAGAGTCCCCAGACCATTCACTCATTTGAACTGAAAGAATAAAAGTCTGTGTTGGAGTGATTTTTTGGTTTTGGTTTTGTGTTTTTGTTTTATTTTGTTTTACAGATGACAATGGTATCTTGATCAAAGGTGTTAGATGCCAGCTCCATTTCTTAGTCACCCTGAGTTTTTTCACAGTCAAAAAGGTCTTAATTTCCTTAAGTATCAAAGGAGAGCTCTGTTCTACCATCCCAGATAACTACCAGAATTAGTAAAGTGGCATTGGCTGCACTTAACTTAATGATGAGTGAAAACCAGGCAAGCACTCAAGGTACCAGTATCCACTCCCGCTGCTGGCCTGCATTCCTGTGCAATGGTCGTGCGCCTCATTAGGTTGCTGTTTCTTCATGGTTGAAATAAGAAGGACATGTTTAATTGACTTCCATCTCCAAGTTACATGCGTCTCTAGTTACATTTGTTTGTTATGGTAACTGTTGAATACATTCAGGTTTCAAAAAAATTTTAGAAAAATGTAGAAAAACATCAAGGAAGTCAAAAATTTCTAAACGGTGTGTAATTTTGAGTTCCTAGGAGGGTGGTGACTCTGTGGCAGGCTCTTGACTTGGGTGACCATTACCCGGTGAAGAGCTTTGGAAAACATGATCTCAGTCAGAATGATGTTAAGCAGGAAGCTTGGCTCTGGAATGAAATATTTTTAGATGTCTTGGTTAAATTGGCAGGAATCTTTTTGTTAAGATTCTTTGATGAAAAGTGCATTTTACGATTCAAATTTGGCTCTGAGAATTATGGACCAAAATAGCTTTTTTCTTCATTTGAGGCAGATTCTTCATTTTCAAATGGCACATTTGCCAACCAACTGAAGCAATATTTCACTTTTCAGGAAAGAGTTCTAGTAAACACATTCACAAAATTACCTTTTTATGGAATGGCAAATGAAGAGAAGTAATGCTTTAAAAATATACAGATGTTTCTTGTATTGCCAGCTGCACAACTTAAAATTCCATTCAAGAAATAGTAATTTAGCAGTTACTATAAGCAAGATATGTGTAAGGCCTGATGGACAGAGCAACAAAGAAGATCACAACTCTCCTATCCTCATATAACTATATATTTGAGGGTGCATTACTCGTCAATTCTGCCTCAAGTTCCTACATTTGCTTCCCTGAGGCTTATCTTTTCTTTCAGGCCTTTGTGGAAGAGCCAAGCAGGTGCCTAGTGTTCTTTGTCCACCATCAGTCTGTTGTCACTTCTTAATTTCAATGCTCGTTTAGTATTTGGCATATCAAGTTGGCTTATTGGCTCCGTAGTTCACCTGTCCACTTCTATCTTGTTGATGAATTACATCGAAACAAATAATATTGTCTCGGCTAGTATGGGATGTTTCCAGTATTGAATGAAGAATCCATTTGCAAAGCAGAAATTTGTTATCATTGCCTACCACCCATAATGTATATGTGGGGAAATAGAGCATAGAATCCCAGTGCTTGATTTGATGACATGCACCATTTAAAACAACAATGTAGAGTGAACCCCAATGTCAAGTGGTAAGTGCTTTGAAGGAGGACAGAACATTGTAGAAATATAGAATAATGATGAGCTACATAGAGGTCCAAATGGAGGTTAGAGATCTGTGGATAGGTGCTCCAAGCAGAAAGTAAAGCTAGCATAGGAGAGAACATGGCAAAGGAGAAATAGAAGGTGTCAGGGGTTTTCTGGGAGCTTTAAAAAGCTGGTGTGATCCTGGGGACCATGGTGAAGCATTGGTGATATAGTCATAGGCAGTGATCAGATTATACAGAGAAAGTGCGTGCGTGTGTGTGTGTGTGTGTGTGTGTGTGTGTGTGTGTGTGTGTGTGTGTCTGTCTGTCTGTCTGTCTCTCTGTCTCACTCAAGAGCTTGTTATTTTTTCCAAAGAGAGTGAGAACTCATGGAAAAATCTTAACAGAATAGCATAGTCTGACTCAAACCTCCAGAAGATGGATGTAAAGTGCAGGAAGTGAGCAGAAGTGGAGAAAGGTCTAAAGAAGATATGAAAACTAACTACAAAGGCTAGGAATTGTTGGTGAGTTAAGATACGACCGTAATGGAGGAGACATAAAACCCATTCACTTACAGATCAGAAATGGTAGGGTTTAGATGGATCCCAAGATTTTGTCTGTGTCATTTATTGCTATGGAGAACATAAAGGCAGTGGAGGCTAGAAGAATGAAGTGATGGTGTGTTCAGTTTGAGCAATGGTGAGTTTTCTGTGTGCATGTAGCATTCAAGTGGGGATAACCGGTAGGTGATTGAAAAATGGAAGCCTACAGCAGAGAAAGAAGAATGGTTG